ATCCGTAATAAGAAGCGTAATAAAATCATGGAAGATATCGTTCGCCACGAAAATTTATTCCCGTCCTATTCCGTGTGAATTTTGTTCGTCGCCAGAGGCCTGGGTATTAGAAAAAATTTAAATGTCACGAGAGACAGGGAGAGCCTTTTATCGAGGCTGGATATCAAACTGTGGATTTCTTCATTTGGAATAATATGTAAATTTAACGATCGGAGAAATTCCATAAACGACCGGTCAATTACAAAATCAACACACAATCCACAAAGGAACAAAAAAAAAAAAAGACTTATTGCAACCGCATATTTTACTTTCCATCGTTTCCACGTAAGTGGGACTTCGCTCGGCCTTCGTTGTGGTATTACAGAGCCGATGAAGATTCTTAATCGCTTTGATAGACCGTCCCAACAATTTCTAACACGATATCCCCCACCTCTCTGCTCGGCGCTTGTTTCTAAGAATCAGCTGCGGTTTCCGCATAGAACACACTCTGATGATTTTCGGTCACGATAATTAAACCGCAGACGGGTTTCGCCGAGCAATTAGCGTATAGAACCGCAACCCAGCTTCTCCTCCATTCAGTACCGTCAACACTTCGTCGACTAGATTCAAGAAATTCCGCGACCATTCTTTCCGTAGCCGGGAATCCCTCGTGGTTGCCGTGTACGGTTGAAGTTAACGTAACGCTTATCGGCGTTTACGTAATTAAAGGCGCTAAGCAACTGCGGTTGGCGCCACACTTGATGCACACGAGTACAGATAACATCGTTCGATCAAAGGACTGTATAAACACACGGGGCGCGTGAACTTCACGGAAAATCTAAGTGATACATGTACAGACACACACACATACACAATCACAGTCCATCATTATTACTGTCACGTGCGCGCAGAATTGCCGTGTGTATAGCCCCTCCGACAAAGAAATGGCGGCATGAAAGTGAGACGTATTACCCGTGTGCTTGTATGCAAATATTGATATTTCAGTACAATAGTCCGTGGCTTGAACTAGGCGTTTGAACATCACCGTACACGGAAGAGAATTGGCCACCTTTCAGTTCAGTTTCAAGAATTGATTTTCTTCATTCTACAATCACGATAAAAACGAAATTTATATTTGAAACACATTCGATGTTTCTCCTGTATTTTCATTAATATTTCCAGGTAAATCGATATACAACAAAGTCGAGATGAAAAAAATAAAATGAGATTTATATTTGAAATACATTCAATGTTTTTCAAAGTTCAACATAAATCAATATAACAAACGAAGTCGAGATAAAAAAAATACCAGTTGTGAGACAAATTATTTGTGTTACCGTGATATTAAAACGAATTCTGAGGTATTAGATAATTATTGACGTATTTGTCATCACCGAAGTAACTGCTTACTGAAAGAGCCGTGCTTTTCAATATGGAGCGAAGATGCCAAAGGGGCCCCAGTGCCCGCGTAATACGGTACTGGATATCCCTCACCACCGGCGATCGCGACTGCGGCGCGAATGGCAAAAAGGCTTAACCGCATTCCGGCGACCATTTAAACCGCCGCGGCGGGGTCCCACGCTTGACCGCAAGGCAGCAGCGACCGGCCGGCTATCGATTGACGTCACTTGGTACCGCGTGACCTTCGTGTTCCCGCGCGACTAGCTGCGCATGCTCTGACGATCATGCCTTAGCTTGTGCCGCACCTGCAGACGGCTCCGAAAATTCACGAAAACGACAGGTAAAAACGTGATTCACTTTAAAAAAAACAGCTCCGAGATGAAAACTGACTTTGAAATTATCGATCATTTCTGCTGTCAGAATGCAAAAAACACACGTTAGAAATCACTAAAGGATTTTTCATTCGAATCGCTGAAGTATCAAGTAAAGATATAATTTTGGTAGATGGCAATGAATGACCGGTCAGGTACCATAGACGTCACGCAGCGTGGTGGCATGCACCCCCCGCCAGCCTGCATGCGCATTTCATGAAAAAGTTGCACATGCTGTTCCCCTGTTGCGTGCTGCTGTGACTCGACAACCCTGGATGGACTCCATGTACCTTATCTTTAAAATTGCTCGACTTAGAGCACCCGACCGTTTAACTACACGAAATCGTGTTGCGCGATCATCGTGCTCCAATAAACAAGGATGTTGGGATAGTTAAATTAGAAAAGCATCGAGAGGCGCGTTCGATAAACCGGTTCCGTCATTATCTTTTAATACTGACCAAAAATTAGGAGAAATACAGTCTCGTACTTTCTTGGTACACATTTTAAAACCATCTTAAAATGCTTGCGGGAAGGTCTAGTTTAATCGAATGCGTTATAGGATACTAAGGACCATAATTTAGGGGTATCAAACAAAAGAGTTTGATCTTGCGAGATTGTGTCAAGATAAAGATGCTTATGTATTTGGTACAGGGGTGATCGAGCCCTTCGAGACCGATAATAAGTAATTATTAATGCACTTAAAGAAGTCAGGATTTTCTCGTCGTGTCACTGACCCGTCTGGCGGCGGTTAGAAGTAGCCATTTGCAAGTCGTGTCCCTGGCAATTACCAATTACGAACGGTGACACGACGACGACAACACGGAGGCCGAATCTGCGGTGTGTCCGGTCGCACGGTACCGTCGTCTTCTTGATTCATTAAGTTCGCACGATCAGGAAATGGCACCCTTTATAAGACCCTATATCGACGTTCTCGCCCCCAGGAGTTCTCACCGTTTTCGTTCAGATAGAATAGCTTATATCTGTATCGGTCATGGAACAGAATTCAAGTCTTGGATTTCAATTCGATAGAGAAAAGGTCAAATCGATAACACAGAGGAGGAAATGCATTCTAAAAATACATGATTCATTCAGAGTTTACTGCCCTGGATGAAAAAGACACATATTCGATAGCTAAAAGATCGCTAGACTTTTTTTTTGCCGTTTCAAAGTTGGATCGATACCGCTGACTGTAACATGGTACAGAAAAATAGAACGGTAAGTGGTGTAATACCGTTCAAATACACGACTCTTTCCTCGTCATGCTCTCCTATCATATGAATAACACACGCGCCCGCACACACAAGTCGGCGACCGTGTTGCGCACCGTTTAGCCGTGTGCCATCGGGGCACGTGTATGTTTTCCCTCTATGTGTGTTTGTCCCTCTCTCTACGTAACAACTATAGAACGTAGGATGTCACCATGTGGCGCAACATACATTTTCAGGTGGCACACAACCGGCACAATTTTCCCCGCCGACAAGACACCAGAGTGTGCGGTATGTACGGCCCAAGCGAATTATGCGAGCGCGCCAAACCACCACTTCTCCTCCCCGGAATCACACTATAGTTAGACCGAGGTAAACGAGACACACGCGACGGAAGGACAGCTAGAGTACGAGGGAGGATACGTGACGTGCCCTGAAAAGGCTAGCGAACTTTGGAAAATCCGATCACGAACCCGCTAGGTAAGACAACGCACAACGACTCGATGGAATTCCTGCGACGCCACACACGTTGGATTTTTCTGCGCATTTTGCTAAATAGCGTCTCCAGTTGTATAACGCCTCGACAGAATGGCTTTCGTTATTAATCGTAGTATTTTTATCAGTTTGTCAGATTTTACGGAGCGAGTTGAATGTGTCACACGATTATGATTGTGTTACACTCTTGGTGAAACACTCAACAGAGTATAATTAACATGTTTTTTGTTTCAAAGTCAAATACATGTTACAAAACTGCATAAGTATATGTAAAGTTAAGCAACTTGTTGTAATTTACAATTCCGTAAAAAGAGTCACAAATATTTAATCCATTATGATGGTTCGATACAAAAATTTGTTTAACCTCGACACGTATTCGATGTATGAGACTTTTTTAACGATTGGATCGATGCAATAATAATCTATCAAGCCGCTTCTCCGATAGCAATCATTCTTGTCATTGAATGCAAACGAACGTCGTGTACATAGCAATTAAATTACATTTACGTTTCTACGTCTAGTGTACGTGGAGGCTTGTCCTCGACAGTATTAAAGTTAAAGAGCCTCTATCCGAAGGAATTGATTGTATCTTGGAAAATATTGTACCAAAGTATACGAGAACGATGACAGCACAACACAGTTGCTTCTACTAAGACGACACAGAGCGCACCAACAGTTCTTCAAATGGACTTCGTACACTTTTAAGTAAATGACTTCTTGAGAAATACACTACGTCCCGTTAAAAGAAGTACACCTATGCTAACACGTACAGTATTTGTACGTTTGTTCGGTATAAAAACATTAGCTGAAAAATGTGAAAACTATACAAACGGCAAAGTGTGAAAGGATCACACATATCCTTTGTCCTTGTACCTGGCGTACAATGTACGAAAAGAAAAAAACTAACAAAAGGTGCAAAGATTTGTGTATTCGTGACCAACGCACATCATCGTATCGTGTTCACCGAATCATCAATAACGTCTACGAATCGCGTGATCGCTTGTGCAATCTACGCGTTTCATTTTGCGTCGCGTAGACCCAATTTCAAGGCGAAAAAATTCTCACGGTTCTTTCTTCTCCCCGGAAAAATACCACTGACCCCGAGGACGTTAGTGTACCGACCTCCGACTTGTTTAAAACGAGTTTCTCGATTGTGTTGTATTCAGCCGTTCTTCGCCGGTGACGAATAACCGACCCACGATTAGCATACTCATGCGGGTACCCAAATTCGGCGAAGTGCACTCCGGAGTGCCGTGCCGTCAATTGCACTCGATTAAGAGGATCCTTAGTTCGACCTTGCCGCCTCCGTTAGGAGGGTAGAGGAAAGAATGAGGCGAATAAACTTGTTGGCGCTTGAGACGGATATAAGATATAAAAGGCTTCCGATCCGAGATCAGAGAACACGTTTAAATTCTGTGTGAAAGTTTAGAACGGCCTATAAAAAAAAAAACGTGAAATATACATAGATATTTTTTTTTATGGCGAATTAAACTACACAATACGGTATAAACAGTAACACAAATACAATGGAAATGAATATATCACTCACCGGAATCGGAGGGTGTCTGTACGCCAAGATGTTCTAGATTCTTGCCGATGGGCTGATTTAGGTGATAGCAATGATCGCTGAGGGTGTTCCTGACATTGGTTTCCTTGAGCACTTGACACTGACCTTTGTCGTCCTCTTTCCTCCTGTCATGGAACCTGACCAGCTGACCGGTGACCTCGCTCACTGGCACAGCTTTGACAGCGACCTCTGTCATGCATTCGGACAATTTCTCGTGTATGTTGATCTGATCATGCCTGAAGAAAGGTCCCTCGTCTTCGGTCTCGGTGTCAGATGAACTCGAGGTCTGCGGTGTTTCCGGCCTCGTTGAATCGCCGTCGCTTTCCGAACCTTTCGCGCGGTACTGTTGCTGGGCCTGCTGTTGGTTAAACGCCGACAACGATGTCGTCGTCATCGGCATAGCACTCGCCCGTGATATCAATAGACTACGTCCCGCCGGCACTCTCTTCTGTATCTGCGAATCCTTCTTCGCGGGTAATGTCCTATTGTGTTCTTTGCTGATGCACAGTCCTGCCCACATACAATCGTGATGACGTATCTCGCGCGATTCCTGACAGGTCATCTTGTCGTACAACAGCTCTGGCAGAACACCGTCGTCGAAGGTACGCTCGTAATACATATCCGAGTGCACGTCCACCACACGGTCCAGCGGGAAGTCCATATCGAACTTCTTCCATATATCGTCCGACACCACTGTCGCGGTGTCCAGGGGCTCGTCTAGCAGGCCCAGGTCAGAGCAATCCCAAACCGGCACCGGCATTTTGACTGAAACGATACCATAAATTTCTTCATTTTTTTCTAATTCATATTTCATCACCGTAGCCGCAAATAGCTTATTATCGTTTGTGCTGAGTTCACGGTGAAGAAAAGAAATACTACATATCTTTAGAAGAAAGTAACAATCATAAGAAATATTGTACTAGTTTCGCAAGAAGCAGAATATTTGGATTTGTTATTCCTATTACAGTTCGACGTGGCAAGAGAATCGTGCATATTTTGTATCGATCATTAGAACCCGCCATCCATCTACTACTTCCTCCTCCTTTTCGATGTTACAACATGTTGCTTCACGTAAAGGTAATAACGCTTGCGCGCGCGCGCCGTGGTATTGCAATGTGTGTCGTAACGCCTTGTGCATTATCACGGGAATCAGCGAAACGAATGCAGTTGATGCCATGAAGATATGGACAAAGGTCGTGGTAACTGTTCGTCGTGTGTGTACGTATTAAAAATAGTCGACCTTCGGTACGAACGTATCGCATATACACACATACCCGCTGTGTACGGTTTTTGCCGCGCCTCGGCGAAACGGTACTCGTCGCGATGAAACAACGAAATCGATATTGCGTAGACGAAGGGATAAACACACACCACCACTACCACATCTGTATCGTTAATTCGCGTTGGTGGTTTTGACATTCGAGAACGCAGAAGAGAGCTGTGACGATATAAACCCTGCCACAACGAATTCGAAACGCGGAGAGGTGTGTACGGAACAGGACTTTTAAAAACCATTAACGTATACAAGTATAACAAATCGAACTCTCCATACACCAAGGAACGTCGATCTACAATAAATCACGGCTAAACGCCGAATCCCTAGACGCCATGTATTTTCCCTCTCTGCGTGAGACCGTTAACGTCTATTTCTTCGAGGGCATGGGTAACCGTTCCACTGTACATTTTAACCACCAGGTGTAACGTGAGACCCTCTAACATCGATTTCGATACGAACACATTACAAGACAAATATTCAAACGGATCAACGAGATGCACAATCGCGGTTGACCGTTCAACTATTTCCAGCGAATATACTATGTTGTATACAAAGAAGATAGACCGATACCTAGAAGAATTAACAGGCGTTAAACGGTACCAAGAAAAACAGATTCTTTCGTAAAATGACGCATCGCTTTGCTAAAGAATAAATACATAACTACATAGTCTCGTAGCTCGATCGACTGTCTCATTCTGACTCATTCACAGTGCAGTTATTACAATCAAAACACATCCGAGGCGCCGCGGTCACGAGTGGCAAAGTCACACACGGAATGACGCGTGAGACGGATCCCGCCCGATGTTCCGACCGAGTGACTCACGATTTACAACGAAATTTGTCCGGGGATATATCGGTGTCATGGATCTACACGCAACAGACAGGCTCGTTTTTATTGCTAACAATATAAAAGTGCAAACATTACATCCGCCCGATTAAGCCCACCTCGATGACAATTAGATCATTATCTCTCGTTCCCGCGCAAAGACGGACCACCATCTTGTCAAATTAATCGTCACACGTCGTTGCCGGCGTCGATTTGCCGCGAAAACGATATCAGTTTTACACGGAACATAAAACTGCACACACTTGTTTGTTGTACACCGACAAGCAAACTCGGCTTCCACTAGGGGAAAAACTAGTGATATGCTACTTTTTCCCCTAGCGGAACCCGAGTTTACTCCTGAGAGTATGTAACCCCACGTGAATTTTTATTACAAAAGACAGGACACAAAACGAAGTGTCACCTAAACTAACGAATTCAAACTGGAAAAATTCTAATAGAATCCTTAAAAGGGTCATTTTCAGCAAGTGCGCTTATATGTTATTGAAGACAAAATTTTGTTCAGACATATCTCATCCAACGCGGGAGAATTTTAACTGTATTCGAATTGACTATTACCGTTACGGAACATTAAAGATTGTTATATTCCAATAAAGATACGCGTTTCAATTTAAAGGTGAATCGATTGCATTCACAAGAAGAATAAACAATTTTCGACGATGTGAAAAAGGTATCGGATCCCAATATTTTCACAATCGCACCGGCAAAGACGTTTGACGGTTAACCGAGTCGTTCATCGTCAGATTCTTATCGAAAACCGCCGAGGAGACCCAGAAAAATAATCAACACGAAGAAAAAGTGAAAGGGGGGGTATGGGGGCCAGGGAGACCGTGAGCTTCGCGAGCCACTCGCCCGTGAAAAACGCGCACCGTTGAAAAACAATGATACATTATCCCGTTTCTCTGTGACCCTACTCTGCTGCTGAATCGGACAAAAGACAGTCGGTAGGGGAAAAATCACCTTCCTAGAACGGCCTTGGAAGCGAAAGAAAGCACATCCCGCGCGCGTGTTTTCGTGTTGTTCTCTACACAAGGGAGATGAGCGAGAGAGAGAGAGCGAGAGAGACAGAGAGAGAGAGAGGGGGGAGGGCACGAAAAAAAAGATAAACTTTCGTTAAATCGTCCCTGGTAGCGTCGTCGTCGACGCGCGCGCGAAAAAACTGTTCCTCGCCGAATAGTAAACAGAGGGCCAAAATATTTTCAGAGAAACATCGGGAATAATTTCTTGAGAGAATTCCACTGATTCCTCGCTGACTAGTTAGAAATGAAGGCCATAAATGCCTTTCTTTTTGTCGACCACAGGTGAAACACTATTAACACATCGCCGGTACTTTGAAAGCAAATTTTCACACTGTGAACATGAAAGCCGGTTGGCACGTCGAGCAGGGAGAACAATTCACCGACACTGGTAATAATATTTTAGGCTTTCAGAAACATATTCTAACGTATCGACTGGTACTGGTTTACTGTTACCGTCACTTTAAAGTAACCACGCATTCGAATCACAGATCACACACTGATAATCAAAAGAATTAATAGAACGCTTATAACCTTATCGACTACAAGAATTTTGTTTGTGGAAATTACAGATACTATTTGCAAATAGTTACGAAAGTAATTAGTTTTTTAAACCTTATATTTTGTTCTGTATGTTACGTGTTATCATTTATAACGTGGGATAACGACAGTTACTCGTGTCGGTGTGTATCGGATCATAAGAGGGGCGTGACCCGAGAACACAATTCACATAAAGTGTGTGTACGTCTGATAAGGTCCGAAATGATGACGATTTGTCTAATCGTAATATTATCTAAGTCTTTACTTTTGCACTGAATCGACTGACACAATTTACGTTTTGAATAGAATGCTACCGCACTGAACAATGAACGAAGAAAATGGTAACAGTGTTATTCAACATAAAAAATTACTAACAATTCATTGTTCGATGACAGGTAGAAGCATTCCAACGGATTCCCAAAATTTAGAGTTTTTCAAGAATGAAATTTACGAATAACATACTTTGGAATCATTTCCCTCCTAATTGTTGAATGTTCTGTGGCCCACCCTGTATAAGGAACGTACATTCCACATCGACGACCGACGATCGATGGATCGAATTTTTCTGTCTATACGTATATATTGAAACAGAAACCGGTCCAGCTTTAGATAGGTGGCGGTATGTTCACCAACTTCCGTCGAACATTATCGTGCAAGCGTGTAACAAGCTGACAGCTTTCCTACCGTACTCTAATTAAGAGTGGGTTTCTTCCCGGGATGAAAGGGCGCGATACGGCAAAAGTGAAATGAAAAATATGCCGGACGGCCTTCGGGTAAGCACCAAGTGAATTCCTAAAAACTAGATCTGCAAGAGCAGATTGATATATTGCACGGCATTACGATAGAAAATGTAATATACCGGTTAACGTGCCTATCCTCAATTGACATATTGTCGCGTACAAATCTATCCCAATAAAACTGTACAATATATAGCTACAAAGTAGCTAGTTATCTAGCTATCGATATCTGACACCAAACTATGTAGTGTTCGACACAGTGGAATTTGGAAGTATTTCGAAAAGATTTATAAAAATATGAAGTTTCAAATTACTTTAATCTACACGGAATAAGCTTCTATATCTATATAAATCGATTAAAAATTCAAAACAAGCATCATTTACGAAAAATCATGTAGCACGAATTTTGGCGGCAAAATCCGAACGGACGAGTACATATGCAATTGAAAACAGCCACAGAGTATTTCACGGCCTATTTATAGACGATAGAACATAATTCAACTGATCAGGCCAGCTGCCAGAAAGAAATTCTTAAATTTATACAAAGTGTTCAGAGAATTTCTCTTTTCAAGGAACAGTGTTGTCTCATCGATATTTATACGCGAACGGGATTCCGATACGAAGTTGTCGGAAACAGTACAAACTGAATCGTTTAGCGAACGTGAAATGTTTTAAACAAAACTTTATCGTATCCTACACCACGATCGAACAAGAGAGTTCAGCATGCCTCTGTGTGTTTCTATTTGCATTAATGGGTTTTACGAAGGTCTCGAAATCTTTCACTCGCGTAACTAGTCCCGTTTTTTTTCACAAAAATGGACTCACGATTGAATAACGTGTCGTATTTAATTTCGAATTGTCAAAATGCGAAAAAATTTTCCAAACATACCCCTACCCCCTCACTTCACGGAGATGTCAACGCGCGTCAATCACTACGAACTCGGCACAAAAATAAATAAAACAAAGAGAGCAAGAAGCGGCTACAGAAAAATCAGAAAAGTAAGCACACAAGTACAAACCTGTCGGCCACTTCGTGTTGTAACCCAAAAAAAAAATAGTATCCACTGTGGAACACACTTTGGCGCGACTTCGAATCTCGCGCGAAAAACTGAACCGATACGAGAAAGGCGCGTCCCGCCTGTTTTATCTGAATTATTCTCTGCTTCTCGTTCACTCGGTCTAGCCGACAGCTACGAGACGAACAGATTCCCGGCACTTGAACGCGCGCTGCCTCCGGTCGTTCTCTTGATTCTCCGGGAGTGTCGAACAAAAGTGACGCGGAGAATAAGTGTCTAGGTAAAATATCCCCGTTCTGGCAATTCAGCCGCGTGTACTACTGCCGTTCGGCCATAAACGTTCCAGCCGTTTTCTTTTATTGTTCAGATTGCTATACAAAGAGAAACTGCTGTTATATTCTACCGGACAAAGAAAGAATTTCATTCTCGGCGCGATCTGTACGGTAAGCCGGTGGCTTGAGCTCTGTCTAGTGCACGCGCACGGACGATCGGCGGCGACCCGATCTTCGCTTTAAGGCCGGTTAAAGGCGACTGAACTGTTCGGCTCGTGTGCCTTGCATCTTCCATGGGCATGCCCACCGCTGCGGGACCCCCGGCGCCCAGGACCGTGACGCGCACCATCGCGCCCCGCCCGAACCATTAAGGCGCTGTCTCCTCGCCGGGGAGTATTTTCTTTTCGTTATCGCTCGATAATCGCGTCGCTACTTATGGACACTTCGAGCGGTCTCATTCTGTCCTTTCCCAGCACAGGAATAGATACGACGTTACTTTCGAATAATTGCGTTTCTATACTTACTGTATCATCAGAACGTCACAATACGATAATAGTGGGAAAGCGTCTTTTGTCTTTTGTGTACATTAATGTTCCGTTCGGAATAACCGATTTGAAATTTAAAATTAATCTAATACGATTTTGCAATTCAATGGATTTCATTTATAAAAGTCGCATGACGGGAAGTTTAATTGTTTCGGATTGAAAATACCAATAATATTCTTCACCGCGTTTCAATCGGTATTTACGTATTAATTACTCATTACCATACACGCTTTGAACAAATAATATTCTTTTGCGCGTATACAATCTCCTCGGTGTTTTTTTTTTAAGAGCATATATTATGGTTTGACGCACACATTATTCCGCTTTGCGTTTGTCATACGAGAGAAATGTGGAAGCCACATGTGGAGCAGAACTGTGGTTGGCAACCTGTCGAAACCTGTGCGAATTTAATACTACAACCAGTCGTTTAAAATTAAGAAAGGTACACTTTTCTTTTACACATCAAATGCACGCATTCGAATAATTCTAGCTTACCAAAGAATTCTTTCAGTGTTTAGTATGTTTTGGTCGTTTCGTAATATCGCAAATGAAAATTTATCACTGCTGCCACGTACTAGGGTTACTCTGTTCTTGCAATAAAGAGATAATAAATATATGAGTTACACTTCCGGACCTTTGCATGTGATCCAGTAATAACTTCCTCTCGGTACATTTACTTCCAAGGTAACAGAAACAATCGTATTCCTATTATTGCGCATGTGGCGTGTTTTTAACCACGAGTTACATAACGCTATGGAGTTTGTGGAAAAAGTAAGGGGAAATCGTCAGATGTGAAAATGGTTCATGTTGTACGTTAAGTTACTACATTCGATCTTCGTCTTTTTCTCTCTCGTCATAAAACGGTCGTCGTGAATTTACGACAGAAGCTACACGCTACACGGAGTCAAGAATGCCTTCGTGATGTGATACGCAAGATTTCGACACCATTTAATGGGAAGGTTCAAGACATTCGGTATTGATTTCTTGGGCGCGTTTTTTTTTCGTTACAATTGACGTGACGTGATAAAAAAATGTCATTACTCTGTGCGTAGATAGCATATCAGTTTGAAATACTCATTAACGTGAAACTTTTGCACCGAGAACGACCGTACGTACTGTCTAAGGAAGGTTAGTCGTGATGTACATACATAGCCCTTGACACACAATGTTGTGCAATTCGAAGCAGCGCGGAAAGCACTACTGATAGCGTCTCGTTACATCACTTTCGACGTCAAGGGCTAGATTTATGAGTAGTTTGGATGGACAAATATTGCGGATCCTATAAAATCGCGCTACGGCTCTATCTTTATTCAAATTATTTACACAATAAAAAAACAAGTTCTTTTTTTATTAGTACTCACAAATATCTGTTACATCGATCGTTTAAAGAGTTAAAAGTTGACGGAAGGACTTATATAAACAAAGATTTTCCTTGTGAATAACTATAGATGATAGAGTTTATTTTGATAATATGAAATCCAAAAAATGTAATAAAGGCTCTGAGTGATTTTTGCAATTTTAATCGTTAACAGTTGATTTTTAAATTAATCGATGAAAATTCGGTAGTTGGGCGCCAAGTGGTCGTGATACGGTACTGATGGAAACCGTATGGGGAGCCGCGCCCGCCCGACTCTCGTTCCATAATGTTGCATATTTTGCAGAAATTACGTCGTTTCGTTTGGAAAAACTTCGATTATACTTTCCTATGTTGCTAATCGAAGCTTCGTAATAAGTTTGAACATATGTCGTGGCGTACTTCAAGAGATTTTCAACATAAAACGGCGCGGCGTAGTCGTGGACTAGTTTTCGTCGCGCAATATTGAGCGCTGCGGTTAAGGCGGCATCGACGCCTTAGTAACAGACTCGAGTCGTTCGCGTACAAGCGTCACAGAACAAATTCTTGTTTTCTCAGATATTTTTTAAGGCATACTATGCCAATTTTAAAGTTCGTTTAAATTATAAGTTTGTACAAAATAATGTACAATGCAGTCATACTTCCTTCTGTTCTTCAATTCTATCTATATTTTAATTGCTATTTTCGTTTATAATACATTACTTACTTTTAAAATAAAGGCATAAACATGTGAAACATCGAGTACACTAAAATCGAAATACAAACGGGATGAAAAATAATAAATAGTACATTTTATATTTCACTTTTTTATTTTCACCAAGGAAAGAATATAATAAATATTACGATAACTTTGTATTATTTCACCCTACAAAACAGTTTTAAATGTGCAATGATATTAAGTATAGATATAACAATTCTAACCAATATAATATTATTTACAATATTTTCACGGAAATTTATTCTTTAATAGCGTAAATGTGTAATATTGAAAATTGTTTTTATTGTGCTTAATGTCGAATTTAATTTATTCTTAATTAAAAATAAATTCATCGAACAACGAAATATATCTTTTTTAATAGTTCTTTTAACGTGATTTTTTAGTATGTCTTATACGTAAAAAAAAGGACTTAATACTCTTGGACTATTTTTTTTATAAGCGACCCCGAATATATCCCATTCATGTATCTTCAGATTGCTCGGTTATTTATACATAGATATTAAACTCACGAAACAAAAAGTCATCAGTGGTTTCCTATTACGAGGTTCTCGACAAAAAAGGGGGACCAAAGCAAAGACCGATAAGCAGCTGGAGGTCAGATAAGAAATTTAAAGATTTCTTACTAGATTCGGCTGTTTAAAGTAGAATGTCTTGTTCGGATGTCACAGGAAATATTCTTGTATGTATATCTAATGTATACTGTTTCACCGTTACTTAAAAATCATTTGCGTCGCAATATTGTTGGAAACGTATTCAAAATAGTGACCCCTGTATTGATAAGTGACGTACTTCAGAACAAAACTACGCGATATTGGTAATGAAAATGTGTAAATATTGATACACGTACGAGTGGGCAGTACCCTCTGGGTATTCCTAAATTCAAGTCAAAATAGATTTAAAAACAGGTCTTTGTTTAGACTGGAGCCGTCTATAAGAAGAAGGTAAAGAGGCAGATCATCCTTGACAGTTCACACTTGGCTGGTTAGTGGTGGAAGCACCTTGGTATACTGTAGATCTGAAGTCGGTTTGAAATTCGATAACTTTGAAAATCGATCCAGTTTCAGAAAGGTTGCGAAATCGTTTCAGTCTAAAACATACGAAAAGCTAATCTCGCGGAAATCTGATTTCTACGTCAACCCGATGTACGAATTAAGTATGTGTGAGAATTGAATTCCACGCATGTTTAAATACAGTATACGTACTATGTATAACGTAGAAAATTAATGTTCCGTTATATAATATTTTTTTGTTGTATTTAGTTCGAATCTTTATTGTTGAAAGGTAGAGGTGAAGTTTTATTACAATCCTCAAAAATACTACGTCACCAGAACATGTTACTATTTGTCATGGTATAGCAGATACGTATTGAGAATAGTTTAAAATTATAGCAAAAAAAATATCAGAAATATTTTTATAGAAACTGCAGTTTTCTCAAATCTTTCACATGCACTGCTTCAAAACTTCCATATTTCTATTGAAAAGTAGCTATAAGAATTACACAGAGAGAAAGCTTCTGTTCAACACAAAGGGATCAGCAAGCTGCTAGGTTATTTAGAAAATATTTTTACGTCCATTGGGACAATTGTGCAGAATTGTTCACGGTAGCATAATGTCACAATGCTTTTCACGATAGTTCCGAATAATGTTGAGGGAAACGCTGAGGAAAACAGTCCCATGCTAACTTGGTTCTCGGCGACAGTGTCCCTTTATCCTTAATGTAAACGACCTTGCATTTTCTTTTCAATTTTCCGATGTCTTTCGCATATTCTTTTACCTCGCATTTCTTAATTTTACAAAATTCTCTATAAATCTCCACACTGTGCGCATATACGAATATAAAAAGATAAATACATAAGTTTGTTTAAAAGGGAGCATAAAGGATGAAATTTAAGTATGACAGGTTTTCCGAAGTTGAAAATTTGGTGTTAACACAATTTTAAATTAATATTCTCAGACTTATAACGTTCACTAAACATATGCTTCGGTATTGTTTCGAGTCTTCGATATTTTCTATTTCACTTACATTAAATAAAAAGTAACGTATATAATTATTCTTTATGCACAGATGAAACGATAAACAAGCGATATAAATTTCCATCCTTCACTATGAGACAGATCTTATGGA